TTAAGCGATCTCCTCCAATTTGTGGTTTTACGTCTTGATGTAAATGGAGGGACCTACAGCTTATACGAAGCCGTCCACGAACGGATGATGGATTTTTTTACGAGGGGCCTTTAATTCATGTCCGAAATACACTCGGAGAGGTGGACATTCCCTGCCAAGGAGCGACCGCAATTAGAAAATCTCTCTTAATTTTTATTTAAATTAATTTTTCATAACTTTTGGTTGTTGGTGGCATCGGGATATGAACCCGAGTCTTCCGAATGTCAGTACGCAATGCTAACAACTCGGCTAGTATAATTTATTTAATTTTTTTTTATTTAATTTTAATATTTTTGTTTCATTTAATTTAAATTTTATCTAATTTTGCAATATTTTATTTTATTTTGCGTTAATTACTTTTCTTTTTGTAAATTTATACTTTAAAAAGAATAAGAGAAATTTTTAATAACACTTTTTTTGATTTTAGTTTTTATTTTTATGCTATTTATTTTTTATTTTATATTTTTTTACTTCATTTAATATTTTTTTTTGAGGTCATTAAAATGATAATCTCGGTCGCAACCAGTTGCGTTTTAATTCATTATTCTTGTTTATTTTGGAATTTGGAAAAATCATTAAAAATTTTTTGAACGTTTTAATTTGCAAAAGCCGACATTTCATTTATTTAGAAATTTAAATCCGCCATAAATTAACCCAACAGCAAATGCTATTAAAAAGCCGCAAGTATTTGGTATTTTTTATTTCATTTTTTATTTTTTTGCTATGCACTCTAATTTCATTTTTGTTTCCGCTTTTTCCGAGCTTTTGCTGAAAATTTAACTTATGTGCATTTAGCATATTTGTGTTATGATTTTAAACGCGTTCTGAATCGCTTACATTTCAGCGGTCTAATATAAACTAAAAAATCCAAAATTTTTTTGTGAGAAGTTTTTGTTATTGTTGCATTTTAATTTTGACGGTAATGCATATTTTTGCACATGAATAATTTTAATAATAATTACAAATACAAAAAAGAACATTTAATGCTTATCTGTTTAATTAGTGGACACATGAGAGAATATGATATTCAAATATTTAACTAACATATTTTTATAGATAATAACAAATATATAAAATATATAGGCATGTATGTAAGCGATACAATTTAATAACATAAATGCAGTAATTATGATTTCGCATGCTTTAATATTAGTATTAGTTATTTAAAACACCTTTAATATTAAAACAAAGCACAATAAATGCGCAAATCAGTGTTGAAAATTCAATTAAAATTGCACAAGTGAAATTCGTGCGCATAGATAAAAGTAATATAATTAATATTCCAGAAAAAATGTGTAGTGTGCATTTGTATTGCTTGAATACAATAAAGTTATAGCAAAAAATTAAAATTGTTATCCAATTACTTTTGAATACAAATGAAGAAAATTGGCAACAGTGCAAGCGGAAAATTTGCGCAGAACGCTTTCAAGTGTGTGTGTCCCTTCGGTACTGAACCTCCCCAACATCAAGCTGTGTGCTTTCGGCTTCTCCCTCACTCCACATTGTTTCACACAACTCTACGACACTTAATTGGTAAACCGCTTTATTAGATCACTTCAATAATCGTCACAAGGCAAATTAAACCAATAACACTTATCATATTCAATCACTCGATTTCGTTAACGAATACAAAGAGATACTTCTAAACAGCACTTATGGCTAACAATTAAGTGTTTTTGATCGATTTATGCTTACAGTTATTGTTTTTGAAGTACAAAATTTGTATAATTTACTAATTCCAATACAGTTTTTCTTTAAGTTTGTAGCTTCGCTTGGGCACGAAAAGCGTGAAGTAAGCGTTAAAGCGGCGCAAAGAGGTGGGGAGTGTGAAGGGAAAAGTAGTAGATTTTTTGGGTATATGTTTGGAAGTGCCTATTAATCGGCTATAAGCCAAGGGAGGTTAGGGAAGGTGTTGCTACTTGCAGGCCTCGGGCGTGCGTTGATAATAAAGAAGAGTAAAAGTGAGTTGTGAGCAGAGAGTTTGGCTATTTATTGAATTGGTTAAGCCAGAGGTAATAAGAAAACTTATAGCATACATATGTACATATATCTGTATATATGACTGAATTTTAAATTTAAACTTTAACGCTTAAAGTGTAAAATTAGCGCACAAATGATAGTAACGAAGGAATAATAGAAAACGAAAAAAAAAATAAACAATAAAATAATGAATAACAAATGAATGAACATTTTTTTTGTTGTGTTAAAAAGTTTTTTTTTTTGAAAAGTATACATATATGCCAGCGAGCGGCGAACACGTGACTTTAGCAATTGCGAAAGAGAGCTTCGTATTTACTACGAACGTATGTGTTTAAAAATACATAGATAAATAGTCATGTTCGCCCCAGCTTTTTTTGGTTTTGTTTTATACTTAATTTATTGATCTTTTGTTATTTTTTCAATATTTTTCCGCAAACAAAAGTCAATGTTGACAGCTGCAACGAAGTGAAGTGGAGTTTCTTTCATTGCCTTTCTAAAAAAAAAGAGTTCGAGAAACTTAAAATATGTGTAATATTTTTTTTTTTTGGTTTAAATTCAGTTCTTTTACTATCTTAACTGATATTTTTAAAAAGTGTTTTTCTATTATTGTGTAAAGAATTTTTTTTTTTTTCAATTTTAGAAGATGAATTTATTTATTTTACTTCTTTATTTTTTAAAGAAACAACCGATTTTTATTTGTTTTAATTTTTTTTTAATTCTCAAAAATCCAATTGCTGATGTTCAACATGCATAAATTATTTTTCATAAAATGAAGGTTTTTTACTCTCTTTCGTGATATTTTTTTTGCTTACTTTTTTATCATATTTTTTATAATAAATTTTTTCATCTTACATACATCCATAAAAATATTCCTTAAATAATTGTAAACATTAAACATAAATTATGTATGTATAATATTTCAAAAGTTACGCAATAAAACTTAAGAGGAATCGAAAAAAATTCACTGTTCTATGTGATGCTCCACAAAAAAAAAACATACATATTTGCATTTTGAGCCTCACACGCACTCAACAGCATACATACATATGTACATATGTGATAGCATATTTTTCTCTCAACTCTCCAGGCGTTCACATGCTTACGCATTCAATGATATGTATATGTGCATATGTACGTATATTTGTATGTACCCACACTTCGTGACACTTGCGACCCGGGAAGTGTTGATTACGTTGGTATGTATGCAAGTAATGTAATGTAATTCGATTTTGTCACCCACCTAACCTCGCACTTCCGCTGCAGTGTATTTCCCCTGCCCAACTACAATTTCGGTGAATTTTTTTACACTGTATTTGATTGACTAAGCGACGAAAAGGGTGAGTAAAAGGAAAGGAAACAAAAATTACCAATAAATTGCCAAGTGTTTCGATTTGTGCCAACGCAATTTCATTTATGTGTTATTTATGCGTATTTACTCACATACACGTACAAATGCATATGCATGTATACATATGTATGCATATGTGTGTATGTTTTTAATAACATTTGTCATTTTGTTAAATATTTCTTTCCGACCCATTTCATGCTTTTACGCTTATTTCTATTACTTTTTTTGTGTCTACTACTTCTGCTAGTTATTGTTGTTGCACGAAGTTGTTACCATAACACGACTATGTGATTATGCCTTTAAATGAGATTAAATTTCGATTACTTTCAATTACTTTGTTGAGTACAATTTTTTCAGCGCAATTCGCGCAAAGCGATTTGTAATCGCCTTGTCTATCAATCTTTTGCTCTCCTTGCCACCCACTCTTACACCAAGACCAATTCCACTCAGTTCATTCTTCATTTTGATTGTTTGTTTGTTTCGACGCTGCCTGTTGGTTCACTGATTTCATTCAAGCACATATTTGAATTGGAAAAATTTCATATTTTCGATCACATCTTCGTGCCCGGCGGGGGATTAACTTGCATTCCTTCATTTCTTCTACATACATACACTTCGTTTGATGTACTCAAGTGCTTGAATTGTATTTGTGTGTGTGTGCCCGTGCGGAAAATCTCATTTCTTATACATACGTGTATGTAAGTGTGAGCGTGGAGTCGTGGAAAATTCAAAAAAAAAATTATCATAATTATTAGTCGGATTAAATTTCTTGTTATGTAAGCGACTGCGTGTTGGCGTATACACATTTATACATGCATTCATACATACGGGTACATACATTTGTACGCATTTTATGTGTATGAGAAAAATTTCTAAGAATTTAAATTTTTATTTACCCATGAAGTAGTGATATCACTTAACAGTCGCTTTCAGACTTTTTCTCTTTAACTCCTGAGTGGAAATTTAATAAGCCGCATGGGGAAAGTGTCAAGGGAGCGAGAGGGCTGCTGGTAGACTTTGCGTGGGTACATACATACTCAAGTGTTCAAGCAATTCAATCTCAAAACAGAATTGATTTTCAAATCACTAAATTTCTATGATTATTAATTTTATGAGACTTTCGTGTCATAAATGGAATTTTTAGATTAACAGTTAAATTGTGGATCATGTACATGGTGAACTCATTTTAAGTGTTTTTTTATTTGGAAACGAAATAAAAAAATCACCAATCAATATTTTTTTTTTTGAAAAAATAATATCAAAAATAATGATTCCTCAGATATCCAAAAGAAGAAAAATCTATTTGCAAATAAAACCTGAAATCGGCAAACAGGAATTGGATCAATATAATATTTAAAATGAGTATCTAAATATTTATATTCAGCAATCACACTTTCTATTTCTGCGAACTAAAACTGTTCTGTAAACTTTTTCGTAGCTATTTTAAAATTGGTAACAATGCGTTAATCTTTTCTGCTGATTATAATCATTGAAATTGTTCCCACTTTAAAAAAATAAAATTTCAATAAAAAAAAAATATTTCTCACAAAAGCTCAATTTTAACAAGGCAGGCATTTAATTTTTATTTTTTTCAAATAATATAGAACTTTTTATGTAGATTATTTTATCTCACCTTCATCCGCCGTCGCTGGATGCTGCTCACCCCGTGTTGTATAGCTGCCCATTAGGATGGTCAGCACAAACAGCAGAATTGCTGTTGTGGCACGTTTCCTGCACATTTTTCAACACTTATTTTATTTTACTTAAATTTGATATTTTCACAAATTACGAAAATGTTCATGAGCTCTGTCCGCATTAATAACACTTTGTCTCTCCGCAGTTATTAGAAGTTGAGTTAATTTTTGAGTGAAGTGCTCCCGATTATAGTGTTAATACCGCAAGTTGAGAAATTCCAAGCAAAATCTGCAAATAGAAAGATAACTGTTGTATAGCGGAAATGTTAAAAAAATATTAAAAAAAAATACATATATATCGTGTATGTAATTAAGAGGTTTTTATTGTAGCTGAGATTTCCAATTTCCAAAAGGTATCATTTGAATGAGGTAAAATTATAAAAAAAAAAAAAACATCGGATGGGATGTATAATTCGAGTAATAATTTCTTGATTGAAAGTTTTGAGTAAAACTATTAAATTTTGAGTGATTTTTTTGGATAAAAGTTTTGTTTAAACCTTTTTAGTAAAAATTTCGAGTAAATTTTTTTGAGTAAAAATGTTTAATTTTGAAATTTTGCATAAAAATTATTATTAAATTAAGTGAAAACTTTGAGTTTATTCGTTTTAACAAAAAAAAAAATTCAACAATAAATGTATTTTGTGAAATTATTTGTGAAAAGTTTTTGAATGTAATCTTTTTGAGTGTAAGTTTCCAATGAATATTTATCAATTGAATTTTGATTGGAGTAAATTTTGAAAAATAAGAAGACCGTTTGATATTTTATAATTTTTTTTTGGGTTCATTCATACAAGCACTAAATATTAACAGCCTAATTTTTTGAAAAAAAAGGAACAAAATTTATAATTTAACCTTTTTTATTTATGTATATAATATAAATAAAAAATTTGCTCAGTTTTCAACACATTTTGCATGTCAATTAAGTGAAAAAACCCAAAAGGGAGTCAAATGTTTTCAAGCATTTTTGTTCGACTTTTATGCGCTCAAAATGTTCAAAAATTTTGTAATACGTTTGTAATATGTTCGAAATAATTTCTATTTGTTTCTTATTTTCAGATTTCTATGATTTCAATTCATTCAATTTACACCCAGGTCCTCCTAAGCTCAATTTAATTGTTGCTAAAATACTTTGTACGCCTCTCTGTATCTGAGCCTTTCTCTCTCAGCTCTCAGCTCCAAAGTCTATTTTCCCTTTTTTGATGTTATCCTTTTGTATTTGCATATTTGACACTTGTAAAAATTACCAAAGCGACTGTGTTAATGACACAGTAAAAGATAAAATAAATATATAAGCTCACCCACACTACAAATTTATTGGTATACATGTTTATAACCAAATTTATATACATTTTGAATTCCTATGCCCATACTCTTGTACACCCATGGAGAGATAGAACTTTTTGTTGTATTCCCTCGACCGACTATTTTATCGTTGCTTCGGCTGTGGCTGCGTCTGCGGTAGTGTTTGTGTGCGTGTCTGTTTGTGCGAGGGTGTCATTGACTCTGGGGATGTTGTACGAATGCACTAACATATATACAGTTATTACTGAAAGTACACACATACATACACTACAGAATATACGCACATATATATATACATATATGGTGTTCATATGTGACAGTGTTAATCACCAAATTTTTCTCCATTAACTCGCATTTTGTACACAAATATATACAAATGTCTGTTGGTCGTCCTTCTGAATCCTTTACCCCTCTGCTAATAATACAAATTGTGTTTTCATGTTCAACACGATTTCTCACTATCTTCCCACCCCCACATGCAGTGGTGTTTCGTTGCTTTACGCATTTCAATATTAAATTAGTTAATTAATTTAAGTTGTTTGTGCGATCATACATATGTACTTTAATGTGAGTGGGTGTGTGTGATAGTATCTGAAGGCATGTGACACTTATGCGTGTAAACGCAGTTTGAAATCACTTCTTAGCCATCGTTACAGAACATTAGATAGTCGCCTTTGTCTGGCCAATACAACAATATGAGTGAGAATGGTTGCTTCCTCGCATTCATATGTGCTCTCAAGTACATACATACGTACACGTATGTGAATGAAATAGAAGTTGTTAAACTATTTATCATCTTGCTGTGATTTTGCTAATTAAAGGCGTACATTTCTTGTTGGCGTAAAAGTTTGTGTAACTTTGAAAAAAATTATTTTGCAGAAATCCGAAAAAAATAAATAATAAAAATTGCACAGAATTTGTATTTTAGAAAACAACATAATAATATTGAATAAAAATCTTAATTTCCAATTATAAAATGTATTTTATTATAATTTCCAAGAGTTTAAAAATTATTAGGGTAAACAAAATTATTATGAGTTAAACTTCATTTTCTAAAAGCTCAAAGTTTTGAAATTTGATATTTAAAAAGTTTTTATAACCTCAAAAATACTAAAAAGAAACTCTTCGACCTTTGGATTTTGACTCGATTTGAAAATTAAAAATAGCTTCCTTTGCTTATTAAGCCAGCGATTACTAATTTTAAAACTTCGAAACTTTTAAAGATTTTTTCTATTTTTTTTACATTTTAAATTTTTTTTATTTTATTTTTTTACTGTTTACATTAGTACAATAGTAAACTGAAATTTTCTTAACAGCTAAAACTTTTCAAAAACTCTAAAACTTCGAATACAGATTTTATTATACAAAAAAAAAAAAAAAAAAAAAAATAAAAAATAATTGAATTATATTATGAATATGAATGTTAAATTGTATACATCAAAGCTCAAAAATGTTTTGAGTTATAACTTTGGATTTTGGACACTGAAAAATTCAATCATAATCTTTAAATTCTTAGAAGTTTGAATAAATCTTTTAAGGTTTATTTTTTTCTTTAGTTAATATCTTAAAAACCACATTTTTCAATAAAAATAAAAAAATTTGGTTTAAATACAAAATCCGCCATCTAGACCCTAGGTATTTCAACATTGAATCGCTTTTTAGTCGATTTTGACATGATTGCATGATTCTGAAACGTTATTCAGTACCATTTTAAACCTCAGCCAACACACACTGAAAGGACGAGCTGAAATCGTAGCGCCTTACATTGGAAACAATCGTTCTGTTGTGCTTATCGTATGAAGCTCATTTAATGAAAAATCGTTAGTTGGAGTGGCTGTCTCGTTCTCCAGACTTAACTGTACCTGACTTTTTCCTGTGGGGCTATTTAAAAAGTAAAGTTTATGTCAGCAAGCCAAAGACAATTGACGAACAAAAAGATATCATACGAGTCGAAATGGCCGCTATAACACCTGAAATGCTGACCTGTCTCTTCTGAAGAATGCAAGGAAAAGATCAGATTTTTGTGCATCGAATGAAGATGGTAATTTAATCAATGCTGTATTCTAAAACTGATTCGAAATAAATGCCAAAGTATATACTAAATAAATGTTGATCATTTTTCAAAATCGGCTGAAAAATATCAGAGTTCCTCAATGTTGAATCAACGAAAGTCTAGATGGCGCACCTTGTATTCTCTCTAAATATTATTTTTACTGGATATTAAACAGTACCTTTGAAATTAGTTTCATAATAAACTTTTCCTGCCACTTTTTTCACAGTTTTCCACACTTTAATGCATCCGATTTCCGAAAGTATTCTGTGAGTAATAAGCCAAATTCTATTAACCCATATCAAAACGATAAAATATTTCGTAATTCAACACTTAAAGTGACATTAACAGCGTACAAACAAATAAACGTGAAACATGACAACTTAAAAAAGAAAATAAATAAAAAATTTACTCCCCACTTTCCGCCTCCCACCATCAATCGCTCACTCAGCCGTTGAATATAGCAAACGTTGAATGGCAAATGTTACAGCAACTGTTTCTTGGCTCTTTGTATGTATGTATGTCTGCACGTAAGTAAATATTTCCGTTAGAATTTGTCATTTATCTAAAATGTCAGATAAATTAGTTTAACCGTCAATGCGCATTGTTTTACGTTTGCATCGAGGATATTTAAGTAGGTTACCTTCCCTTTTTTACGGCGCTCTTCTGCTTTCATCCGCTTTTATCTCTCTCACTCCTACTTTTTCTTCTCTACTGTCAAATCCCTTTGTGTCAAAACTTTTTCTCCAACCGCCCCAGAGTGAAGTGCGAGGGAAATGCAGTGTCATATCGAACATCGAAAGCGAATTACGAGTCAAGGTGTTGCAAGGATAAGCCAAAAGGGGAAAGCGGTTGTGGGTGAGGGTGAGTGATGAAGAGCCAAAGGAGGAGGAGAGTGTACGCTCAGAGAGATATGCAAAAGATCTCGCTTGCTGTAGCGTTGTCAGTCTAGGCAGGCAATAAATGTCAGAAACTTAATCTGTTGGGAAAATTCACTTGTTGTTGTTGTTGTTGTGCTGCGGAAAACTATTGCCAATACTAAAAGTAAAACAATAAGTGTCTAATAGATTAAGCGCTGGATGATATTGAAGGAGAGTGCATAAATAAATATGCAAGAATTTTGGTATGCGAGAGATTTGTTGAAAAGCAGCGCAGAATGAAGAAGGAGGAGACAGAGAAAAGAGAAAGAGAAAGAAATATTATGTCACCGGTTGTTGCCTTTAGAATTTCAACTATCTTTTTCTTCTTTTATTTTTATTTTATTTGTACATTTAGTTTGTCTACGCAATATGTCAATATGTTTCCGTGTATATAAATATATGTACATACATATATACCAACATAAGTGTAGTTATGTATGCATGCTTTTCCTCTTGAGACATATTTTCTAGTTCTCTTCAGCTAAGCTAATCTGTTGACTTGTGCTGTCTGTTTGTCTATTTTTCGGGTTATTTGTCTTACTCCAGGGAGCAGCAGGCCTTCTGTTGGCGAGCATGTCAATTTGAAATAAAATTCCAGTTTTCACTCTAAACTCATTTTTTATGTATTTATCTTCATGAATGTATGCGTGTGTGTGCATTTTTTAGGTAGTCACTCTTGTAGATTGTTTTTGTTTTTAAGTGGTTCCATAAACTAGAGGTATCGAATTTCTATACGACCACGCTCGTTGAAACAAGACGAAAATGATTGAAAGAATTAAAAAAAAAAAAATAAAATAAAATAAAAAAAATCTTGATAGATTTAAAACATATAATAAATAGATCTGCTAATGTAAAAAAACTGTTTTGAGTTGGGAAATTAAAAGATAAGAATTGCAGAAAATATAATTTAATTAATTATTAACTAATTAATCACAATCGAGATTTACTGAAAAATTT